GATTGACAAACTAAAAAAAAAAAAAAAAAAAAAAATCGGAATTCAAACCATGGAGAAAGCAATGAGACAACCACTCCACTATCTTTCCCAAGAAGGCAATTCATAATGGGCTTACGAACATATCATATTGAAACACTGGTTCCCATACAATCAGTAAAGTTAAGCAACATTGAGCTTGGTCAGAACCTAGATGGGTGACCACTTGGGAATACCAGGTGCTGTAAGCTTGCATGTGCAGGTGGTATAATGGATAAAGACCCAGAATTGTTAATTGGAAAGCCAATTTCCAATTCAAGTTGGGTTTGTTATACTCACTTACATGTAAATACCCTTGGGTAAGGTATGTATTCACCTCTTCTCCTCCCAGCTATGGGTTAATTAGTACGACTTGTATCACTAAAAATATTATCTCCCAAAAGAATAAAAATCACATACAAAATATTTAGATTTTGGCATTAAATAACCCATAGAGGTTGATATGCCACTAAAAGAAAAAGCAATTCATAGACATAAACACCATGTCCTGAAGGGATATGGCATTAAGGATATATTGTTTTATATCTGAATTTAATTAAGAATGTTAATTAACTTTTAAAGCATATGGATTCTATCCAGCATTCTTTTAATGTATGCCCTGATAAATCTTTGGCAAAATGACAGTGCAACTGTCCAGATATCAAAAGGATATGACTTAGTCTCTAATGAATAGGTGTATGTCTCTTTTGTAATTTAAGGATTATCATAAATTATCATAAATTTAAAGCATGTTTTTTCATGTGATCTTTTAAATATGCATTTCTTGAGAACACAGATCCACATGTATTACAAGGATATGGTTTCTCCCCGGTGTGTGTGCGCATGTGCCGTCTGAAGTTTGACCGGGATGAGAATTCAAATCCACAAAAATTACAAATATATGGTTTCTCCCCAGTATGTGTTCGCATATGTTCTGTTAAAACAGGACTCTCTGAAAATGCCGATCCACACACATGACAACAGTAGGGTTTCTCTCCCGTGTGCACGCGCATGTGCCGTTTTAAATCTGATTTTGCCGAAAATGCGGATCCACAAAGATCGCAAGAATATGGCTTTTCTCCTGTGTGTGTCCGTACATGTTCTGTCAAATGTGAACTGTTGGTGAATGCAGAGCCACAAACCGCACACGAATATGGTCGCACTCCCGTGTGCAATTGCATGTGTCTTTTTAAATTTGATTTTCTTGAGATTTTAGTGCCACAAATTTCACATGGGTAGGTCTTTGATTCAGTTTTTTGATTCATTTTATTTGAATTCTGAATGGATATAAAATGGTTATCTATAATTTTCCAATGACCGTATTTGGGCAAACTTCTTTATGTTCTTTGCAACTTCACAACCTGTAAATAAAAAAAAAATATGTTTAAGAAAACATGTAATTCAATAATTCAAATATATCATTTGGCAAAGTTTAACTTTCATACCCATAAAATAACAGTGTGTCAAATGGATGGTTATTCACTTGACATCACAATTACATAATACACATTTACCTCCCTCAGCAATGTTTAATTACACTGTTATAAAATATGTAAACCAAATACAATATTATTTACCTTTTACAAAGATTTATTATATACCATTTTATACAGAAAGAAATTTCAAAAGAAATCTTATTTAAAGATTTATTAAAAAAAGTTTACAAAATTATTAAAATATGTAAACCAACTACAATGCAGTATTATCATTTCATAAATAACTATAAAAAGAAGTTTGTTTTAAGGTAAATGTTACAGACTTTTTCTAATTATACACAAAGAAAACCTTGTCAACCTAATGAATACAAAAATACACAATGAATATACTGAGTGCGTGTGGTCTTGCCTAAAATTAAAAGAATCTTTGCTTCAGAAAAAAAGATGCTCTAAATCTATTTCAGTGAATTTATGTGGCAAGAGCAAATGAAAGAAATACCTGGAAAATACATTTTTTCTAAATTTATAATTAGTTATGTGAGCATTTATTTACATTTTATTAGCAGAAATTTATGAATAAAAAATTTATTTTCATATTTATGCTCTTTATAAAATGATAAATAATAAATATTTCATTATAGTTGGTTCACATATTTTTATAATCTTATAAATATAAAATTATTCTTGTAAATAATCTAATAAATAGTGTTTAATATCTCTGTTGTCAATTCTCAAGAATAAAGAACATGTATAAATCCACTCTCATATGTTTAGGTTTTATCAAAATTCTAATTGTCATTTTTAAAACAATAAATATTGCTGAAGTTGTCAAAAGTTTTTACAATAATAGTGGTGTCAAGGAAATAACTGTCCTTTTGATACACCATTTTTTTTTTTTTTGCAAATATTAAAGTTAAACATTGCCAGTAAATTAATATAAAAAAAAGTAAATTAAAAATAGGGATGCACTATATATGGATTTTAACATCTGGTCAGATACCAGATGTTATCAGATTCAAGAATTAGATATCCAGCTGGATAATATTTTTCATGTAAAAAGTCTGAATAAATCATCTATCATAATCACAACCATGATTCTCACAACCCATTAAGATCAAAGGGGCACCATACTTATGTGACTTATGCAAGATAGTTTAACAGAGCCAAACCTTCTCCAAGCAGATTTGAATTCAGAGTTTTCTTTCTCCTAACTGGTTGCCAACCAAGGCTACAGGATTCAATCTGTTCTGCTATTTAATCCATGGCTTTGGAGAGAAGAGATGGATTTATACTTTCCCAAGAGTATTTGCGTGTAAGTGAATATAATGAACTGAACTGGAATTTGAACTAGGCTCTCCGATTTTGTAATCACTACTATCTGTTACATCACCTCGCATCCAAATTATTTATGCTAAATATATAAAACTACAGATTAATTTTAGCTTAGATAATACCTATTTACATTTACCTAATATTTAATAATACTATTTACATTGTTCAAACTGTTGACTTCATCTGTCACATTCACATTTCAGTCTTTGTACACTGGCCTTCTTCAGGCGATATTTGATGGAATTTCGAACTGAACCCTTTACAGATGGTTTAGATTGTTATAATTCTACATACCATGCCTGTGGATATCTCAGTTTTATTTAATTCACCTTGATAAATCTTCATGTTTTTGTTCTCTCCACATGGCCCAGTGGATTGAACTCACAACTCTTTGGGTCAATGCTTATATTCACGAGGCTATATGTCCTTGGGGGCACTAGTGAGTGAATTTTGAGGACTTATAAACCTAATGTCTCTGTAATTTATTTTCATCACTATTTATAATATGGTAAATAATAAATATTGCATTGGATTGGATTCAGATATTTTTATAATCAGGTAAATGATTTTCGGCTTTCAATAAACATGCTGATGAACAGAATTTTGTCTTCCGAGTTTTGATTGGCATGGACACATACCAGGAGATTGTATAGTAAAACGGCAACAGTATAATTTGGGGGTAGGGTTAGGAGGATAGGAAATGTAGGAGTCACTTGTCTAAAGCCTGTCATTTATTGTACCAGTTCTGGTATTTTCTAAGAGCTAAAAAGGAAGTAGTCAAAATGGTGACTGACACAAAATGTAGAGTAAAAGGGAGCGAACAAGGGGAAATAAAACAATAATTTCAAGTGTGTGAGAAAAGAAATAAGATAAAGCAAATTAAACAACAGGAAAACCAACTAGGTTTTAGAGTAAACAAAAAAGGTTTTATTTTAATTTTAGTGATTTGGTCAGTGGTTATAAACGAATAAAACATAAAAGGCTTACTGGCAAGAAGTTAGAAACACATCAAAATAACTTCAATCAGGAGTTTCTGGGTTTGGGGGCATAATTTACATGTCAGGTCAGTGAAGATTAGTAATCAGACTGCACTGAAAAAGGTTTCAGCAATGAATAGCTTAGGCAGGAGATGAGTTTAATTTTGGTGCCAACCAATGAATATCCAGATGAAAGACCTCCACTTGTAAGGTCATCCGGCCACATTAAATGACCCAGAACTCAAATAAGTTTCATTCATAAAAAATGGATTCTCTTAACAATAAATATGTTATACTGTGGTAATAGAATAGATTGATTTGTTTTTTATGGGTTATCAACCATTTATTATTTGGTTAATTTGCAGTTTAGCACCCAATTCGCATTAAAAATTTCCAGAATACTTACATTTAGGTGTAATTGTACATGCTACATTCAAATCTGGCTTCATCAATTTGATAAAATCTACCATTTTGGACTTATCAACAGAAAAAGTTCAGATTCATTTGCGTCACAGGCAGCCATTACTGGCGCTGTTTGTATACATTTGCTGCAGAATAGCTATGATTGGAATAGTCAATTTTCAATTCTTGTGCACACAATATAGTCCTCTTGCACAGTAACTGAGATGAGTAAGATCAGTAAAAAAAAAAAAAAAAGAAAAAAAAAGGCTGTTAACTACATTCTTCTGTGCTTAGCTTTCTGCAGCAAATGTATGTAAACAATGCCAGTAATGACTGCTGCCACCAACACAAATGAATCTGAACTTTTACTGTCGATAACTTCAAAAATTAACCTCTTTGTTTAGCCAAAACATATATTGGATTATAAGATTAATTTTTTTGCATTAAATTTTTGTAATAACAATGTTTTTTTGCATATACAAGTCATACTATTTAACCCAGAGCTAGGAGGAGATGGATTCATAGATTTCCCAAGGGTATTTGTGCATGAGTGAATGTAATGAGCATGACTGGAATCCGAATACAGATCTCCAATTTTTCATCCCGAGTTGCTGTCCATTACACCACTCACACATTTGTGCATATTAAAAAAAAAAAAAAAGATTTTAATGTTAAACTTGTATGACTTGAATTATCAGGAACTGAAGTGGCTTGTTTCTCCAAGTTAATAAACACCATCATTTTTTTTTTATTTTAAAAAGATTGTTTTTTATACCTTATTAACCTTTGTGCATTATTTAAAGGCAAAAAATATTTTGAATTGTAGGAAATTTCTTACGCTAACCAATGTTCCCAAGTGATCTCCCATCTAAGCACTAACCACACAAGATGATGCTTAACTTCAGTGATTAAATGGGAACTGGTGTTTTCACCATGACTTGACCATAAGTATTTTAAAAAGAGAAAGCACAAAGAATGTATATGTTTAATAAGTATCAATAAGATATTTAAAAAGAAAAAAATTCTAATATCGTTAGTTTAAAATCCAACAACATTGGATATCAACATGTTTTTTTACCCCATCTGACTGAACTGTTATTCCAGTAGTTAGAAATGTGTTTGCGAGTAATTGCTGCGTAATTAATATGAACTTAAGGCAGTAAGCATGTCTAAAGATTAAATTGTAAATGAAGGTATAGAAACAATAGCAGGATAGGAACATATAAGTGTTAATTGGTTGGTTGATTGATTGCTTTTATTTTCCAGCATATCAACCTCTATTTATAAAGAAATATATATATGAAAACATTTTTTTATTCATGAATTTATAAAGATTTACTAAATTATTAAAATATATACACCAACTATAAGGAAATCCTTATTATTTCCCATTTTATAAAGTTCAAATTGAGTGGTGATTAGCAGATCTTTTGCCAACCATCCCAATAATATGACAAATAGTGTAAATAAACAAGCTAATAGTGTTTATTATTTTTGTTGTAAATTCTTAAGAACAAAGAAAATGTATAAATTCACTTTCATATGTTTAGATTTTATGAAAATTCTAATCATTGCTTTGTAAAACAATAAATGCTGCAAAGGAGAGCTGATGTAGTTAAAATAATAGCAGTGTCAAGGGAATAACCACACTTTTGGGACACAGTTTTTTTTTTTCAGATACAAAGGTTGTCAAATGTTCCATCATCATCATTTGCTAAGCCATTTATTTAATCTACGGTTAGTACAGTCAAGTATGACAAGGTTTAAGGCTCCAATTTCTTCACTCAGAATTTTGTCACATGGAACAATAGCTGAATGAATTAAAGTGTTGGTTCAGGAATTTGGTTGAATTTTTTTTAGTGGCATATCAACCTCTGTGGGTCATTTAATGCTGAAATCTAAATATTTTGTACATAATTTTATGCTTTCAATTCCAGATATTTTGTACATAATTTTATATTTTCAAAGTAAAGATATGTTTTTAGATATATATAGTTTGTAGATCATAAAATGTATTGCTAATTTTGTTATAAAAATATATTGTTGCTCATTTTATTATAAAAATGTATTGCTAATTCTTGTTTGGGGGGTTTACTATTTGCCCATAGGTAGGGCCCTAACAGGTGCTACCACCCCTGGTGACATTGTAATTGTGTGTTCTGAGCTGGACAGTGTGTACTTGGAATCAATGGAAACAGAGCAAGCAGTACTAAAATAAGCACTATTAAGATATCTCTAGACAATTTGCCCCCCATATATTAAATAAAGGGTTGAGTACAAAATTCCCTGAAGGCTACCTGGATGAAGGCATGTATAATAATAAAAGTTCACAAAGTCCAAATCTTGTATACACACATGGAGCCTCCTTACAAAAACATCTGCCATGGTAGGAAAAGTCAGTTGCTTTTATAGCAGTTTGTTGGACCCTTTACAGATTTTCTATTCATGGAGAATGAAAATGGATTAGCATATGCAATCTATTCCACTCAGTGACACTTGAAACACAATTTGTTAACAGAAGCTCATTTAAAGGAGTTTACTGACCTCATTTCTTCCTTTTTTCTATTTTTTTTTTTTTTGGCAAAACCAGCCTGTGACACAAAAGCCTTTTGGCCTTCAGAGTATGTCACCATTTTCTTTTGTACAAGGCCAGAGAGTAAAACGGATAAAAAATTGTGATAACAACAATAATTAACATGTTGTAAACGATGTGAGGCATGGTAAAGTAATTTGATAGCAACTCAGATTGAGGAATCAGAGAGCGGAGTTTGAATTCCAGCCGGATCCATTACATTCACTTACATGCTAATACCCTTGGGAATGATATGAATCCTCCTCTTATTCCCCAGCTATGAGTAAATATCAGGACAGACTGGGTTCTATAACCTTGGGTGGCAACCGGTCCAGAAGGAAGAAAAACTCAGAATTCAAAACCAGCCTGGAGAGGATCTGACTCCATCAGACTATCTTACCCAAGAAACACCACTTCTACTCTGACTGATATACACAAGGTGCCCCTATACCCATATGGATCACAGGATAAAAAAGACGTTTGGACACAGATACAAATATAATTATCATTTTCTTTTATTCATATTTACTGCTCCCATAGCAGCCTGTTATCAGTGCTAAACAATTGTAATTTTAGAGAAAATAGTCACTAACTTTTATATTTTTCATATTTTCTTGTGCATATTGTACACTGTAGAAGCATTAAGTAGCTCCAGTATGTTTAATTATACCATTTTTATCATCATAATTTTTGGAGCCAATGGGTACTTCCCAAAGAAAACACTATATATTTATTTCCTATGAATTAAAATTGATTGTCTGGTAACTATTATATTTGCAACATTTACAATTTTTTTTCAATTTAATTCAAATTCAAGAACTAATAATATGAAACAGGATATAAACCTGCAGGAGTTTGAGTTTTTGAATTTTTGAGCTGACGTAGATGTTCCAAACTCAAATTTGAAACTATGCTAATCTTTCTTTTAAACCTATTTTAAAACTTTCTTTTTTTTTTTATTTTGTATGGGATTTTCCCAGAAGCACATGCACAAACATTTGAATTTATTAATTATCTTAAATTAGGTACCTCCATGGGTTCGCTAAAAAAAGAGCATAGCATGATGAAAAAGATGCCAAACTTGAGGAAAACAAAATTTTATCATCTAAATGCTTATGTTATTATTAAGAGGAAAGACCAAAGGTTTTTTTTAATTATTTTTTAAAATTTTTCCTTTTTTTTAGAACATTCTAAATTTTGATTAAAAAAACCTTGTTTCTCTTTGTACAACCAGAAGTTGTTTTTATGAATATGGGCAATATTTTCTGAAATCAAAAACTTTTTTCAATGAGAAATGAATTTTTAATACAATTATTTGCTATTTCTTTAATTATAATAGATTTTTACATTTAAGTTGTTAAAATATCATAAAATTAGTTAAAAGTTGCATCGGGTTTCCCAAGTGTCCTTATGAGATAGATCTTTTTTTAGCGCATTGTAAATTGTATCATTTTGACTAATCAGAAGATCTGCAGTAATTAAAAAATGTGATTTTGTGTTTATAATCAAACTGTAATTATAAAGTATGGAAGACTAACCAGAATACAATTAAGTTGCGTTATTTGAGTTAAGCACTGTTCTCCGCTGTTAAGGCCTTTACTTTTGCAAAACACGTGTGGAGAAGTTAATTTGATTTTTCAATTTCAACTGAGAAGGGTACCTACAAGTATCAGTATCATCTTATGAAATTTATATGATCTTATTTATATATTAATCTCAGTTATGACATTTTTCCATAAATGAAATATCAAAATTTATAAAAAAATGAATGTTAATACAAATAACACAGTAAAATGTAATAAATGTACATAAAATTATAGTATTATATGTACACTTCTGATAAAATTTCATAAGAAAGGTACCTATAAATTAATTAGATACCTTTCTTATGAAATATGAAATTTAATGTCACTCTTAACAGTCTTATTTTAATTTCTTTAGAATATATTTTTTATAAAGTATCATAAACGTAAAGATGAAAATAAAAAAATTAGAGCACTGAAAGTTTTCTTTAAAAATAACGAGGTAAATAATTTGTTCACTTAAATGTAAATTATTTCACTTTTCTCCTTTTGTAGAACAAATTATGATCCCGTCAATACATCATTCAACACTGGTCAAGTGACATGAAAGGTTATGACCTGCTTTGTTTTATTTTCAAATTACATCTTTTCGGCGCAGAAGCTAAGTCAACCTTGGTTTAAAATATTTTAAATAAACATTATAAATTCTGATTTTCTTAAAATAAGTTTTGAAAAAATGATAATTGATTTTTAAAAGAATTTCAAAGTGAGATTTTCATCTTTTTTATAAAAAGAAAAAAAAAAATGTGTGCCATGATCGATTATCTGTCAATTTTGACTGCCTCAAAAAAAAAAAAAAAAAGATTTTTAACGAAAATTTCGGACGTGCTCGGAACGATAAAAAAATCTAAAAAAAAATACCCGGAAAATACTTTGATCTTTCCTCTTAATAATAACATGAATATTTAGAAGATAAAATTTTGTTTACGTCAAGTTTGATGTCTTTTTCATCATGCTATGCACTTTTTTAGCGATCTCGTGGAGTTACCTATCTTAAATGAAAAATAAATAGATACATAATTTTATTAACTTATGTAAATACTTGTTCTTTAATTAAAAATCGTCCGTTTGTATCAACACCCCCCACCCCGGCCCCACAAAAAAAAACAAAAAACAAATTACAATAAGTCTGTAAAAGTCAGGAATCGATTTGACACAATATCATCAACAAGACCGCATTCCTAAAATAAATCGATATTTTTCGATTCTGACAAATGTCGTAGCCTAAGCAAAATAAAGGAAGGAATACTAACCTATATAAATTTAACCCCTCACCTAAATAATTTCCTTTTTTTTTTTTTTTTTTTTTTATGAGTGAACCTGTAGTACCAAAAACAGCAGATGAATATTTGAAAATGAAAATGAAAACGGATTTGTTGAAATATCCGTCATTAACTTTGTGAAACCAAACGTATAAAAATACATTTTAGATCGCCCAAACTTTTTTTTAAACAAAAAACTAACATTTTCCTACAGTTCTTGAACAAAATTGGCGACTAAATATATTTATAATTTAAGTTAACAGAAAATTTTATTCCTAAAACTAGGATTACGGATTACCATTAATTTAGAAATAAATGATCTACAAACAGAGGCACGGTGAATCAAAAATATTTTCAAAGATCAATGAAATAATAACCCATATCTTACTAATATTTTGGAAAGGTTGGAAATATTACCAATATAGTCGATAAATTCCAAAATTAAATAATTCCAAATGTTTAAAATTCTTCCTGTAAAAAAAACAAAAACAAAAAATATAATATACACTTACTTCTGTCGATCTTTTGT